AACGTGATCCATCAGTAGCAGTTTTTGTTCCAATGTGATACGATAAAAATTTGCCCCTAAGATTCCGACCCAGTAGATTTCCTGCTTGAAATGGAAGTTAAAGCATGATTCTTGATTCATTGATACTACTCAGGCAGTGGCCAAGTTATGACTATGCAACATGAGCGCACTTCATTTGAATATTGAATAAACATATAAAAAGATCAAACTGCAGTCAATAAGCTTTGAGAGATAAAGCTATGAAATTCATTAAGAAAATAAACCCGTGCACATCTCAAACACCAGTCATTGAAATCCGGAAGTGATATGAGTAGTCTTCCATTATCTAAGGTTAACGAAGATCCGAATGTCAAGGCTTATCACTGATTTTTCTCAAAATGCTTTTTATCACTGCATTTCAGCGACTGTTGTATCACAGAAAAAAGAGCATAATTTTATTCAAGGATTCACGATATATATACGCGTTGACTACATATGAAATAAGATAATGAGCTTCCACTTGCTTACACAACAACGAACCTCTTGTCTGTCCCGTGCAAGACTCGGGCCGATCTGATTTACATCGAGTCGCAGAACACTGTCCTCTCCGGAAACAGAACAATCACTGCTCTCTGGTGTCCGCTCACTAGAGATTTGGGTCTCAGTTTGTAATATCTCAGTGGGCCCTTCAGAAGAGCTAGTACCGCCTGAGACTAGCTTGGCAGAACTCACATCAAATGAAGGTATTGATGGTTGTGATCGAAAGTCACCTGTTTCCGGAGAACGATTCGATAGAAAGTTTTCTGAACATAATGGCTCGGTGGCAGAAGAGGACCCATTCAGAAGGGACTCTGGATAGGTACAATCCGTCTCTTCAATGAAAGGAAGTACTTCAGCTGGTTGCATAACATCCATGTTGGTCGAAGTATCAATGAAGTCATGATGAGGAGATTGTGGCAGAGGTGAAGACGATACGGTTTTAATTGGGTCAGGTTTACCGGCGATATGGACATGAGACTGATTTAGATGTAAATTCAAGAACAATGGTGAAGGAAGGCGACAGCGCTGGCGTAGTGAAACAAGACGATCATGAATATGGTTCGTATAGGCATACAGTTCGGCAGGATAGTTGGAAAGGCAAAAGTAGTTCCAGCGACGAAGAAAACACAGAGGGGCATAGTTAGATGATTCGGAATTTTCAAGCTGCCGAATTGGATTAAGTCTGTCACATTTGAGAATGTGATGGCCCGGAATAAAAAGAGTACTAAGGGATAGATGATGAAAAACAAGATAAATTTTAGTATTAAATTTATCAAAGTATATTGAAAATATTAACTTAATGTAATGACAAGGATAGGGATGAGAAGTTGTGGTTAAAGGAAAAGGCCTACCTGAAGTCCGAATTTTCATCGAAAAGGTCGTCCAGCAGAGCATCCATCTCAGGCTCGATTCTATGCGTAAACTCTTCCATGCCTGCGGCTTTTCGTTCCATCTCCTCTTGATCACAGACAGGGCAACTGCCCCACAGACTACTATAATTTTCCCTTGATTTGCCGTCCTTCAGATAAGGAAACGAGACGCTAAGTCCAGTAGACTCGAGCCTAGGATTAAGGTTCAATAAGACCGGCTCTCCCAGAGAGACATGAGCTTCTGAATCCGATGATACTTTTTGATCAATTGTGCTATTTATTAAAATAGATGACATATTGGTAGATTTACAGTCGTAATCACCATTTCTATCATAAATTATCCTAGAAATTTCGTTTTTTTGAGATTCCGAGATACATGACAGAAATGGAGGGGTTGTAGCTCCAGTGCAAAGCCTTAGAACATCTGGACAATGGTTAGTAGCCTCAGTGAGAGCAATCGGTGACTGTGGGGCTACAGAGGGTTCTAATGAAGACTCTTCAAGATGTGTCGATGGTAATGAGGATAAGACTGCTGGAGAGGTGTCATTGAGACCAGAGAGAGTGATAGAAGGGGAGGGTTTGTTTGGAAGAGAATTTGTCTCAATAGTCTCCTGAAATAAATTTGAAGTGACTTCATATTCTCCTCCGAAAAGGGGACTATGCTCCCTGTCACTCTGGTAATCTGAATTTGCTTCTATCGCGAGCTAAAATCAGAATTGAATAAAATGTGAATGATGGTACAAATATCAAAATTTACCCATGCAAATAAATCATCATCTGAATTAACAGTTGGTGTAAAATATAACTATTTTTAAGTTAATAAAAGTTTACGAAAATGACCAAAACTCCGGAAACAAACCTTCCCAATAGATTATTCCAAATC